GGGCCCCGGTAGAGACCAATGGTGGGGACCTTCTTGTGGTGGAGAAGGCTGCCAGCATGGCGGTACGTCCGCTCGCAACGGTCGCACTTGTAGGGGCGCCGGTCCACCAGGCCATTGGCACCAGGGGTGGCCCGAGCCTCCGCCTCTGCCTGGTGCCGCCACAGGTGCTGGACCAAGTCCCGAGAGGCCCTGTAGGCCTTGCCGCACTCCGAGCATTCAAAACGCTTTTTTGTGTGGACCCGGCCATGGTTCTTGAGGGCAGATGGGTTGGGGAATTGCTTGGGGCAGACCGGGCACTGGAAAGGGCCAAAGGGTGCCGGAGGGACGCCCACTGGGGTGTGGGTGCCAACATCAACATGGCCACCTGAGGCACCAACTGATGCGCCGCCAACATGGCTGCTGACAACATGAGAGCCTGAGGTACCCCCAACATGGCCGCCTGAGGTAGTGCTAAGATGGCCGCCGTCAACGTGGCCACCTGAGGCATCAACATGGCTTCCACCCTGGTCCCTGCGGGTGGCCCGCCATTCCCGTGCTGTCTTGCCCCGGACAGGGGTACTGCCCGCCAGGAGGGGGCAGCCTGGGGAGCTCCTGCTGCCGGGGCGGGGCCGGCGCTGGGCATGGACCAGCTGGTGCCTCGCCAGCTGCCTCTGCCATTTGAAGGCTTTGCCACAGTCAGGGCAGTGGTGGCGCTTGGCCTCGAAGTGAATGCGCTGGTGGTTCTTGAGCGCCATGAGGTTCGGGTAAACCTGGGGGCAGACAGGGCAGCAGTAATGGCCTGTCTTGTGGCTCTTGCGGTGGTTGAGCAGGCTACCAGCATGGCGGTAGGTCCGGCCACATTGCTCACACCGATACGGCCGCTCCTCGGGGTCAGGGGGCTTCTTAAAGGCAGCGGCCGGCACGGAGACCTCGCCACCCTCGGCGTGGGCCTTGCTTGCTTTCTTGGCATGAGCCGGCTTCCTGGAGGTGGAGGAGGGCAGCGGCGGTTTCCTCTCGCGGTGGACACGCTGGTGGCTGGCCAGCTGCTTCTGCAGGAGGAAGGCCTTGGGGCACTGGGCGCACTTGTAGCGCTTGGTCTCGAAGTGGATGCGGTTGTGGTTCTTCAAGGCCATGAGGTTGTAGAAGAGCTTCTGGCAGATGGTGCAGCGGAAGAGGCCCGTCTTGTGGGTCTGTTTGTGATTGATCAGGCTGCCTGCATGCTTGTAGCTCCGGCCGCACTGCTCGCAGCAGAAGGGGCGCGCCGGTGCGGGCCCTTCCTCCCCGCTGCCCTCCTCTTCCTTCTTGGCGAGGTCCACCCGCTCCTCCTCCTGCGGGTGGTGGGCAGCACAGTGTGCCTCCAGCCCCGCCGCCCCCTGGCACAGCTCCCCACAGATGTCGCACACGTGCGGCTGGCTCTCCTCAGTGGCGCCGCCTGCTGGGTCCTGTTTTCCAGGGGCCAGGGCTGGGGGGGGCTCGCCTCCCTCCCCGCTGTGCGGGAGCGCCGGTTTCTTCTCTGCGCCATCCCCGCTGCTGGCCGGCTGGCCGGCATTCAGCTTACACTTGGGATGATTACGGAGATGGTTGCGGTAGGCGGAGAGGTTGGGGTACTGCCTAGAGCAGACGCCGCACTGGTAATCTCCCACCTGGTGGGTTTTCTTGTGATTGACCAGGCTGCCGCCGTGCCGGTAGGTCTTTCCCCCCTGCGCCCACGCGTAGGGGGGGCGGTG